CTTCAGCGGGGCGGCGGGGGCGGCCGCGCGGCTCCACGCGCACGCAGGACACACGGAGCCCCTCCGAAGAGCCACCCCATGGCCAGGGCCCCTCGGGCCGGATCCGGCTTCCTTTGGCCCGGGGGCACGTCTGGGCTGCGACGAGCATCCGCAGCTCGCTGCCTCCTGCGCGTGGTATGAGCACATCTGTCAGCCCGGGGGTTATTTTCGGCTCCGCACAGAGGAGGATCTGCCTGGAGGAGCCGGGGCTGCCCCGCTGCCCGCGCCCGGCTCCCGCTGTGGGGGCAGCCGGTGCCGCTTCCCGCCGAGCCGCCACTTACGATGGCAGCGCCGCGGAGCGTGCAGGGGAGCCGGGCGGCCCGGGGCGTGCTGGCCGCTCTCTAGTGCACGGGGCTGCCATGGACCTGCTCGCCTGGATCCTGCCGCCGCTGGTCCTGCTGTGCGCCCACCAGCACGCCTGCATCAGGTACGGGGCCGGCGCCGGGGCCGGGGCCGGGGCCGGGCGGGAAGTTGGAGCGCCGGGGAGCTCTGCAATGGGACGGGGGCGGGGGGAGCCGAGCCATGCATCCTCAGCCTGGGCACCGAGCAAGCAGCCCGGGTCTCCGCCCCCGCTGCCGCTGCCACGGGCCCTCCTGCGCGGGCGTGATGGTTTCGGGGATGGGGCAGAGGTGAGGGGAGGGCACTGGAGACCCGCTTGCCCACGCCTGGCTGTTTGGGGGTAAGTGGCCCAGGTGGTTCCCGCAGAGATCGGGTATTGCCCCTGTCCTGCAGCAGGTTTCCGCGGGCCGTGTCTGGATGCAGAAGCAACCCCCTGCTTTCACCTGGGCCAGGCAGGGGTTGAAAATAGCCACTGGCCCGTGATTTGTGTCCCAGCTCCCCTGGTCACGCGGGGCGGTCAGTGGCCGGAAGGTGCAGTATAACACACACAAGTATTCTTATTATTTTAGCAATTACGCTTCTCAGCCTGTGACTTCAAGGTCTGTTTCCAGGCTTAGCAACTGCCTGGATGTGTGCAACATATAATTTCTTACATACATGATTTTATTACCGGATTAATTGCTTAGTTACTTGGCCTTCTTCCTCCAGCTACACACTAGTGATGAACTGTTTGTTAGAAATGTATGTATTTTGAGGCAGGGGAGTGGAAACGCAAAGGAAATGCTGCTTTGCTTTTCGGATTTCATTTTTGGTGTTCAGATAATGTTAGTGATTTATCTGGAATGGCCCAAAGCAAAAGGCTTCCTGAATACAAAGAAAGGTGGCTTTTTTAGTATTGTGTAGTCTTCTGAAAGCTCAGGGGACAACCTATTTCTTCTGGTAGGTCATTTGTAAACCCTATAGAGAAGGAAAGGATTCAATCCTGGAAACAAACCAAGGTGTAACTTTCCTCACTGTGTAGTCCCATTGAGTTAATGGAACTAAACACGTGAGTAAAATGCCTTGTACGTGTAAATGTTCACAGTATTGGAACCAAAGTTTATAAGTAATGAAAATCTTCCTCAGTTTTTTGGTGGCCACCATAAAACTAGTGAAGGTTGGCACAGGTGGAGAGAGTGGGACTCAATATAATGGGCTTGAAAGCTGTTTCCAGTTGGCTTTAGGGCTGGATAAGGAAAAGAATTTCCTGGTTGTATATATCAGGCAAATAAAGTGTGTGGATACTAAAGCTGATCTTCTGTTATTGAACCTATATTTAAAACAGAGTGGAAACTGGTTTTCATTGTGTTTGCTTAGAACCTGATCCAAAGCCCATTGAAATCAAAGGAAGTCTCAGTTTCAATGGGCTTTGGAACAGGCTCTGAGTTGTAAAGACAATTCCTAGCGCTACCACATTTGCCAGCAGAATGCTTGGAAATAGAAAACTCCCTCTCTGCAGTGTCATTCCTTTTTCTCATTGAACAGCTCAACAACAGCACTATCTTTGGCTTAAAAACCATCGAAGAAAACATTTTAGAAGTGTGTATTTTGCATTAGCCCACCAAAGCCTTATTATTGAGCAACCTGGGGAATTGCACGGCTGAGGCTCCTGGGCAAATGCACTGAAGTTTTATGTAGGCTAACCGATGGTACTGACTTATAACCTCAGTATCTTGTTCTGATCAGTTGGACTGGCATATGTCTCTTGAATGTGAAAAAGCTCAACCTTTGAGGGGCTGAACCTTTGCACCTTTCTTGTTCTTTTGCACGCTCATTGTCAAAATACACAGATGCAATCTGGTTTATACAGGAGAAGGGGTTTTAATATGGGCATCTTTTACTAGTAGTTTTGTTCACTGAGATGACAATGTAAAATTCTGTCAATAGTTACATTTCCATTTAGTGATCTAATTTTGGTTTTAAAATATAATATACCTAGAGCATAATAGGCGTGTGTACACATGTGCTTTAATGCACAGTAGCCTATTTTACTGTACATTAAAGTGTCACATAAAAAAGTTTGATTATGCTAATGCACAGTAAAATAGGCTACTGCATTAAGTGTCACTTAAAAGCTGTGCGTTCATTACTGCACATTAAGGCAGCCTAATGCTCATTTGTTTAGTACCTCACATTAGAGATACTAAATTTAATGTGCATTAGAAAAGTGCCTTAAAGCATATGTAGATGTGCCCAGTGACAACAGGAGTGTCCAAGTGGTTATTCAAAAGGAGGTGGTGTTTAGACGATCCTAGGGTGACTGCGCGTGAAAGCTTGCCAAGAAATTTTTCCCCCAACTACTCAGTTGGTCTAATAAAAGATATCACATCTACTCAAAGAACCTTGCCTGCCTACATTCCTCAGGACAAATTTAGGCTTCTTGAGGATCAACTTTTGTGTAACATGCTAAAATTACTGTTATTTTTTACATTTTTTGTCACACTGGGAAGAAGAGAACACATGTAGTATGCCAACCATTGTAGTTTGTGAACCCTGTTGGACTTCTCTTAAAAAAGACTAATTGAAGAAGTTTCTCTGGAACGCGCGCTATTTGACATGAGTCAATGGGCCAGACTCAGCCTGAAGGTCACTGGAGGTGCACCACTTAGACCTGGGTTAACTTTAGCTTACCAAATTTATTATGAAATTTTGGATGGGTAATTCTGAGAGAGAGAGACTGTTGGAAAATCCGCATTTATTGGCCTGCAAACTCTTTAGGGCCCGAACTGCTGCTTGGACAAAACTTGGTACACAGTAGTCACTACCTTAATATACATCAATAATAATGACTGAGATTTTCTAAAGAAAACCTAGTCAAATCTATTCTCTCATGCTGGGAGAGATTCAGGTGCAGTGCTTAATCCTACTACTATTTATAGGAATTATCCTTAAGAGTTCATAAGCCCCTGATTCCATAACACTGGGGAAATGCCTTGTAATTCTCTAATTGGCAACAGAAGCATCATTTTTTCATACCTGTTTTTGAATTCTTCGGTTTCAAACATGATCCTTGTCTACTTGTATATAATTAGCTATTCTTTGCAATGTATATCTTTCAATCTTTTACTCCTAGTCAAGAAAAAAGCTTTAAAATGTGAAATATATGCAAAGAGTAGACTACTTTATGTTGTTTAAAACTCACAGAGAAATGGAAATAAGGGCTTTTACATTCATAGGATTGCCATGAAATAAGCCTAATGCCTTCCAATTCCATTTTAAATTATAGAACATATTTACAGTGAGTTTCACTTAGACTGGAGGATGGCAGATGTAAAAGACATATTGCCCTAGACAGTATTGGAGCCTGATACAGGCCAGATCATTCACTGACCCCACTTAATCTTTAAAGAGCTTTTAGCAAGAAAAAAATGGCATTGACAATGCTCTGAATGGGATATTGGTCCTCTGAAAAAATGGTAGCAAAAGGAAACAAATTCATCCCAAAACACCACATCACTCACAGCCAGTCATTCAATAGACTGGCATGTGAATTCTCCAAAAGGACCTATGCCGATGTCAATGTCTAGATTAAGAGATTTCTTTCATAAAGGCTACCCTTCTGCCTGGATTAACTGAATTATTTAATAGGTCTTTTCACTTAAAATGGTCAAGAAATGTGCCTGGAGAGGGTAAAGAGTGTACACTATCTCACTATCTGGAAAGGTCTACGCAGAATTTGTGCTATTCCAGTTGATAGACATGCCTTCTCTAAGCATGCTCCATTAGTGAGAGTGCTTTGATTCTTTAGCTCTCCAACGGAAGGCATCATCTGGATAGGAAAGAGCAAGGGGCAAATATTCCTCACATTCCAACCAGTGGTTGTGCTTTTAGCTCTAGAAGAGATGCATTTCCTGGAAATCTCATTTGAAAGAGTTTCTTTCCCTGACTGATGTCAAGAACAGACTTGTTAGGCACAAAAGAGCTTTTCTTAGATTATATAAGCAACTGCAAAAATTAACTTCCTGTATATTTATAGAGGACTAAATCCTTTTGTCTGACCATGGAGAAAAAATAGGTATTTATTCATTATTTAAACAAATTATTAAGAAAGTATTAAACAAAATATTAAGCTTCCAATTGCACTGAAGTTCAAGCAATGGAAATATGGCATACTTTGGATAATGCAGCCATTGCCCTGAAAAGGTGAGAGTAAAAGGCTGCAGGTGAGAGTTAAAAAAACCTTGTCTTGATCTACAGCTTGCAGAGAGCTTTACAGAAAGGGTTATACTGGTATTCATGAGCTTACTGCTCTTTAATCAACTTGACCCCTTCTTTAGCTTCATGCAGGATAAAGATAAGCTATTTTTTCATTGCATGCTGTAGCAAGCTCCTGCAGTTTTATAAATATATAAAGTCCCTTTCACTACAGAGCAACACTATACAACAGCTTAGGTCAAGAAGTGAAGCTGCTGAATCAACTAAAGGTTGAGAGGGCAGCTCCCTTTCTTCCCATCCTTATTGCTTGGATGTAAATCCTCCCCAACTTGTATTTCTATGCCAGTCCTCATGTTACTATGTAAAATGCATTAATAATTTCTCCACAGGTAATCACTCCCTGCTCATCAAAGGTAAAACAAATTCTTCACACAGTCCTAAAAACTGGTGTCAGGTAGAGGAAAGTCCATAGCACTGGGGCAGGCATATTATGGGGCTATAGCACTGTCTTCTAAAGATAATCTTCCGTTTATGTGCTGCATTACTGTTTGCTACTCTCCATGCTGATTTGGGGCCTGTGGATTGGTATAAATTTGGTGCTGGTGTATCCCTCCAAAAGGTTCTTCAAAGGGAGTAGTAAGAGATTCTTTGGCCTTGTTGCTTCCTCTGTCATCCCCTCTCTCTTCACTCAAATGGCAGACTACTATGTCATGCAAAAAAGCTCTGCAATGTATGTCACTCCAGCTGGAAGTTTCCTATATGGTCAAGGGGTGCATCTACATGGAACACTTTTGTCTACATGTGCTGACCCTTACTGTGCAGTAATTTCCTCTACTCAGCAGTTAATATGCTATCTGCAAATGCAAGTAGCAAATTAACAGCTGAGTAATTACTATGCAGTACGGCATGTGTAGATGGTCAACCAGAAGCAAATTTACTCCTCGTCAGCTGGGCAGCAGGGGACAGGAGATTGCTCTCTGCCCCCAGGACTTGCCTGCTGCTGGGGTGGGCTCTGCCATCAGAGCCTGGGTGGAGACAATGTCCTCCTGCCCTGGTAGCAGCGAACTATATCCTAGCCCCTGCTCTGCCATTGGGCTGGGAGCTTCATGCATGGGGAAAGTTCCTTGCTCAGCCTGGAGCTGGCTGGGACCTGCCCCTGAGTGGGACAGTTCCTGGCCAGACCCAGCCTGCATGTGGAAGTCTGCATGTGCAGCCTGAAGGTGGCTAGTAACTGTCCTGTTTCAGGCAGTCCCCAGCCAGCTCTGGGCTGCACATGCAGACTTCCCTGTGCAGTCTGGGGCTGGCCAGAAACTGTTCCGGTCAGGGGCAGGTTCAAGCCCTGCAGATTTTTCCCAGCCCTGTGCCCCAATCAGGCAATCAAGGCATGGGGCTTGGAAAGAGCTGCAGAGGAGGGGCAGGTCCTATTCCCCTGCCCTGATCCTTTGGTGAGGTGGCTAGCAGCTAGCTGGGGACTTACTGCTAGCTGCTAGAGACTTACTGCTAGCTGCCCCACTAGTGAATAAGGGCTTGGACGTGCCTCTTCCCTGCAACTCTTTCCAAGCCCCCTGCCCCTGATTGGAGAGCTGAGGCCAGGAGCTCCTTGCTGCTGAGTTAGTGGGGCATTGTCCCCACCTGGGCTCCAGTGGCAGGCAGCTCCCATGGGCAGAGAGCAATCTCCCAGCCCCCCACCAAAAGACAGCTGTTTCCTGCCCCATGCTCCCTGCCAGCCCCTAGGCTAGAACCAAAGGAGAGCCTAGAGATCCCCCTGGCTGGTGCAGGGCCAATGGGGGCAGAAGTAGATTGCTGTCAAAAGCAGCTAATCTGCTCCCACATCCCTGCACATGTAGATGCCTGCCTTAGGTGGGTTTACTCCTGAGTAATTTAGTCACTCCTCAGCATTTGCACATGTAGATGTGCCCACTGACTTTAGTATTACCCTGATAAGCTATGGTGATTTGCATCAGCTGATGATGTGACCTGAAGGCTTTTTTAAAAACTGAGCTGAGCATTTTCTTTAAAAGTCTGTTCTATATTGCACTGGGGAATTTTCAATAAAACTCCCTATAGATTAAACTTTGTGGGTGCATCTACACGTGTGTTAATGCACCTTTGCTACTGCGCATTAAGTTTAGTACCTCTAGTATGAGATACTACATTAGTGCACAGTAGCTGGTGCTACTGCACAGTAGCAAAGGCACACAATCTTTTTGTGACAATGTACAGTAACCGTAGACTAATTATACTGTGCATTAGCACGGCTTTTGTTGTGACGTACTAATGTGCAATAGACTTAGTCTACTGCACATTAAGTGTCTCGTGTAGACATGCCCCAAATGTCATAAGTGCAGAAGAGACTGTCACTCAAGAATTGGGCTCTATATCCACACCCACAGATGTTCAGCAAGCGGCTGCTTCACTTGGTGCAAATCTATTGTCATATGAGACAGACAGATGCTTATTCCTACTAAAACACAAGGCATTAGATGACCCTTGATTTTTAACCCAACATTGTCCTATTAACTTATCTTAGTTCTTCTGTGCTCCTTAATGCTAATACATAGAACATTGACACAAGATAATGATATCCCACTGCTATATACTGTAATTGCTGAGGCTTTTACAGAAAAAAATGTCAGGGGAAAATTAGGTGATTTTTATTTTGCACAGAAGATGATGCTCCTGACAGTTCTCTTACAATGATATTATTTCTGCTATATTGCAAGTGACTGATTATGAGTCAGTCGTTCAGGCATGATTCTTGATGCAGGCATATGAAAGAGGAACTACAAAGTTTTCCTTAAATTTTTCAGGCTTTGCTTTGAAATAATAGATAAAATGATTTGAACTTGTAGAATATGTTGCATGTAATGATTATCAAACACTGTGCAAACAAGCACCAAAGGCAAGATCCTTCTGTCTTTACATAATAGGACCCAAAGACAAGCCCAAGGGATAAGTAAGGGATTCATGAACAGTAATAATTACTTCACCCACTGCTACAGTGTAACTACCTCTGGTACTGAATATGTCATCTGGTTAAAAACACTAAACAAAACTGTAAAACAGTTTGGAACAAAAGAGAGGAGGAATACTGTACTCAGCTAAAACCGTGTGGGGGTTTTTGGGTGGAATATAATTATTAAAATTGGTATTAAGCCAAGATATCCAGGATAACAACTGTACACCTGCAAATGGGATACAGGGTTTTTAATTAACAAGATCACAATTCTCTATTTTAGGTCAAGACTTACAAAATTACAAACAAATACATTTAAAAACAAAAATATTAAAAACATCACTGTATTCACTAATCTGCAAACATTTTGGTTGTGTTTCCACTCAATCAGCTGGTTGCCTCAGTGGTTGTATCTACATGACACACTTTACTGCACAGCAGACTAATTTGCTGCACACTAATGTGCCACCGTCTACATATGTGTGGCAATTAGGGAACAGCAGACTAAATTACAGCTTGACCAGATAGTCCTGTCAGATACAAGTATCTGGCAACGCAGTAAATTTCTGTTCATAAATGTATGTGTAGACGGTGACATCAGGATTAGTTTATTCTGGCTCAAATTAAGCTAGAATATATTGAGCCAGAGTATATTCAGTCTCATTAATTGCACATGTAGACACACCCAGTGTGCATGTCTACATATTCATTAAAACAGGTATTAATTTAATGTGCTGTTATTAGCGCAGATGAATGCTTTATGTGTGACACTTAATGCCCATTGTACTAAATATATTGTATATTAGCACAGATGAACGCTTTTGTGTAATGTTTAATGCCCATTGGACTAATCTACTGCACATTAGTGCATTAGCACGGTTTTTGCCAGGTGAACTAATGCACAGTAGAATTAGTTCAAAGGGCATTAAGGGTTGCATGTAGACACATAGGCACATTTACATGAGATGCTTAATGCCATTGGACTAATTTTACTGCGCATTAGTGCACCTGGCAAAAACCGTGCTAATGCACAGTGATTAGTCCAATGGGCATTAAGCATCACACAAAAAGCATTCAACCACAGTAATGTAGAGTAGCACCAATTACGGCACATTAAGTTAGTACCTGTTATTACAGGTACTAAACTTAATGCACTGTAATTATGGCACTTTAATGAACATGTAGACGCACCCACTGATACCCCAAATAGGACAGGGAATGCAAAAAGAAAGAAAGAAACCACTAAGCTGCAATGTTTGCCATCCACTGCTGAAAGAAAAATCCAGAACCTTGAACTTGGGTCTTAGCACGTATGATGAAAGGGCAAGAAACCAAGGAGATAAACATCTAAGTTAGACAGACAGGGGTAAGTGAGCAGGTTTTACAGGTGAAAAGAAAAACCTACAGTTGTATAAATTGACATAGCCTCCATCAAAAGCAATTAGACTATTCATATTTACACCAGCTAAGGATTTGGCTCATGAAGTCTTCTGAGGTGCTTCCATGAAAAATGAGACTACAGGTTTAAAAATGAGACAGAAGCATTAGAAATATATGAGATACATATTATAGATAAATAGATAAATAGATAAGGGAGTCTGTGGCAAGGGAACATTATAAAGGCATTTAAAAAAGCATCCGTAACCTTAAAATGTTTTACAAGCTAATGAAATTTCACTGTTGGGCAATAACTGTCCTAGTACTTTTTCTAAGGAGACTTTAAATCTTGACAGCTCTATTAACTTAGAATGGCAATGTCTCTGTTACTCAGACCTTACATTCACATGCTGCTATCCCAGAGCTTTCTTACATAATTACCTCCATGTATGAGGCAAAAGGTATCATCACCAGGGTAATCAAATATTTCCCTTCCTGCCCAGCATGAAAGGAAGAACTGTTTGGTGCCAAATACTGTATTAAGTGTAAATTATGAGCTGAATACACCCAAGAGCTGTACATTTTGGGGGAAAAAATGTTTGCTTATGTGGGTCAATGTCATATGAATGTTCTCCGTATGTCCCAAGGCAGGCACTGCTTATGGTATATTAGTCTGCAGCCTTTCATCAATATTTAAGAAGGTTCTTCTGTTATTAATGATATATCTTTTAAACTCCATGCTTATTGCAAAGCTGAGTGGAAATTGCTGCACCAGTGATCAGACAGCTCTTATATGATCTTTGCATTGACATATACGAGTGTCTTAGAGTCCTGAGAGTTTCTGTCTTACATTGCTGTGTAGGGTCAAATAACAAACCCTTCTCAGCTCAATAACCATTTTACCCATGTGAAGGTTTTTAAACTAGTTCTCTCATTATATGAAAAGGGGAAGCTGGAGAGGTTATGCTGTCAACTCAGTGCAAGTGCAACTCTTGTTAACTTTAACTTGAGCTGGGAACTCCCAGTGTCTGACACTGTAAAATGAGCTCTAATGATCAAATGCAGGTGTGAAGACACCTGAGACATGCAAAGCATGTTTCCAGAATAGTTTTGCTGCCTTTCTCAGCTTGCTGTCTCTTTTGACCAAAGGTTTGCAAAGCATGGCCACTCTGTTCAAAAAGTTTTGGATCCCCCAAATTTTGCTTTGTTTTTTTTCCCTGTAGTTGCAATGGCCAACAGTACTTTTCAGATGAGCAGGGATGTCAGCCCCAGTCTCCTGGCTAAATTCCAATGCAGTAATTATGTTCTTCTTCCTTAAACTCCTCCTGCTGTTACAATTAGATATATTCTTCACTTTCTGACCTAAGCTGTTGTGTAGCGCTGCTATCAGCTATTGGATAGCTGCTATATTCCTCTACTGGGGTAGCTACATTTACAGTATGTGAACAGCTTTGTAGTCCTCTGGGACCCCTCCACTTCACCTCCATCTGATTTAAGGAGTGAGCCCTACCATATGCTCAGCATTATCATTCTTTGACACAGAGTGACTGTCTTATTCTCTCTTGTCATTTCTGTGGCTGGTGCAAATAGGGAAAGGACTTCTGTGACATTCCACGTCCCTTGTAGATGCTTTCTCAGGACAATTAATCCTTTATTCTTCCTTTCCTATGTCAGACTGAACCACTTTTCAGAAATCCTGTCTTCTTTCACATTTAATTGGACCTAGAGGTTTATGGGGAGGAGCCCAGAATTAAATCACTAGCCGTGGCCTTAGGGTACTGGTATAGGTTATCTTTAAAACATTTTAATCTGTGGAATTGTATGCCATCAGAAATGCTTAACGCCATCTCAGACCTGCACGACTGTGACTTGCCACTATAGGGCAGGCAAGTGGGGGCATGGGCAGGAGCTAGGACTCTATTCTCTGGTAGGGGAAAGGAGGGGAGGTGGCATGCAGCTTGGAGGCTGAGAAGGAGATGAAGGGAGAAGGGACACTTAGCAAGGAAACTGCTTTTATCTCTGTTGATTTAGCACCGGTTAAAGGTGCCCTAGAGCAGTGGTCTCCAAACTTTTTTGATCGCACACCCCTATCAGCAAAAAATTTTTGAGCATGCCCCCCCAATACATGTATATTTATATTCGCGCACCCCTATCAGTAAAACATTTTTGAGCATGCACCTCCAATATATGTATATTTATATAAATATACATCTAAATAGAAGTTCTAATGTTTTCTTCCTGCACCCCAATTGATCGTCTTGCGCACCCCACTTTGGAGACCACTGCCCTAGAGAATGAAGTTCTGAATTTATCCACACGGTATACATAGCAAAGGCAGAAATAGGACCAACCTCCACCCATGTGCCTCAGCTGTGGCCTGGAGGGAATGAAAGAGGTCTCCATATCATCATTCTATCCTTCATATATTGTTCATGAGGTGACAGAGAGCAAACAGGCAAGAAACCGTGCTGTCTAGCTCATGCTCTGATCTGTGAGTTAGAAGAGCTGAACTCTGGCCCTGGTTCTGCTGCTAGCTTGCCATGTGGTGTCGGGAAGTCACTCTGCCTGTTTCCCGATGTGAGAGATGATTTTGAGTTTCTTTTGCAAAGTGCTTTGAAATATATGGATGACACATAAGTGCTAAGCAAAGCTTTGGTAGGTGCTTGCTGTCTGTCTGGGTCAGGGGTGGGCAAAATACGGTCCACGGGCCGCATGTGGCCCACCAGCCCATTCTATCTGTCCCACGGCACCTCTAAAAATTTTAGAAAATTAATTTTTATCTGCCCCTCGCTGCCTGTCAAAGATGACAG